CTGGGTAGCCTTAAACTCCTGGGTTCCAGAAATCCTCCTGCCTCAGCGTCAGGGGTCAGACCCACACCACTGCTGACTTTTTCTTTCCTTTTTGAGACAAGGTCTCCCTGTGCAGTTCAGGCTGGCCTTGAGTTCACTGTTGTAGCCAAGGGTGGCCTTGAACTCACAGCAATCCTCCTGCCTCAGCTTTCTGAGGGCTGGGATTATAGGCATGTGCCACCACACCCAGCCACCTTGGTCTCTTCTGATCTTTCCCGGAAAGCTGTGCTTGGCCCTTGCATTACAGATCCCGAGAACAGGGACCCCTTTGCTTGTGGTGTCTAACTGTAGTTTCTCCTGCCGAAATCAAAGCCCAGCCAGCTCAAGCAAGTAGTCAGTGGCCGACTGCAGGCCGCAGTGTCCCTGGGGTGACCATGGTGAGGCTCCCTGGCCCATCTTTTCTGAGGCCTTCCTCATCCCTTCCCGGGCGGTGCTCACACTCCCACAGGGCGAGTTCAGTTGCTCCCTGAGGCACAGAGAGGGGAAGTAACCTGTCTGTGGACACACAGCCAGGAAGCCTCAGGGCTGGGACTCAGATCCCAGCCTGGCTGCAGAGCCCCGAGCCCTTCAGTGTCCTTCTGTGCTGCCTGACTCCCAGGAGGCCCCGCTGCAAGGCCTTGAACCCAGGCCCCTGCATCTGCGTGTCCACCCCGGCCAACCTCTGCTCCCAGACAAGAATCAATCTAGTTTTCGAAGGCACCTGCTCCAGAGTGGGGTCACCCTGGGGATAATCAGACGTTTATTTATTCATAGCCTTCGAGCTGGAAGGGCGGCCTCCCACCCACCCGGAGCTCGCCCGTGCCCAGCTGCCTCCTCGCCCTGTCTCTTGCCCACTCCAGTCCGGCCAGAGAGGAACCGGCTGGCCCCGAGGCCCTGCAGCTCCAGGCTGTGTGGGTGTGCACCCGCAACTCCCTTCCTCCTGCCTCTGAGCATCACGTGTAAATCAAGGCTAATTATATACCTGCTCTGTGAGGCCAGTGACACTGAGATGATTAAAGGGGGTGACGGCCAGAAAGGGCTTCGTAAGCACAGCGCTGGCCCCTAAGAAGAGCCCCAGGATGAAGGGGTGCATACTTCCGCCCACCACCATCATCATCTATCTTTCCCCCTGAGGCAGGAACTCGCTGTGTTACTCAGGCTGCCAGGCGGGTCTCAGACTCCTGGGCTTAAGTGATCCTCCTGCCCCAGCCTCCTGAGTACTGTAGCTGAGACTACAGGCCTGTGCCTTACCCTGGCCAGCATCATCCGTTAAACGCTTCTGCTCACAAGATCTGCTTTTAGCCCTGTAATGTGTTTGTTTATTTATTTATTGGTCTGTTAGTTTTTGAGACAGGGTCTCCTTAGTAGCCCAGGCTGGCCGCCAACTCTCAGCAATACTCCTGCCTCAGCCTCCTAAGTTCTGGAATTGCAGAACATTGTGTACCACCATGCCTGGCCTCACCTTGTAGTTTATCTTCCTTAATACACGTAGGGAAACTGAGGCCCGTAGTAGAGAAAGACCTGCTCTATGTCACATAACAAACTGGGACCAGGGAGTAGATCTCAGAACCCATGGTTCCCGGTTGGACCCCCTGTCTGTCTTGTCCCTGCCCATCTCAGGTCCTCCCGGGGTGCCCAGAGGCCGCCTGGCACTCAGTCTTGCCTGGGTGGGACCAGGAGAGCAGCGAGTGGCGATTGGTGGACCCGGCCGAGGCCCAGCGTTCTCAGCCCAGCTCTTTGTCTGCCGCTTTGTGATGGTAAGTGTTGCTCCTAAATCAGTTCTGTGACACTGTTATTGTTGCGCAGGGCGCAGAGAGTCTAAACTTTTCCCCTGAGGTCAAGAATGTGGCCGGTCCCCAAGCCGCCCAGCTCAGGGCCTGGGTGGCTGGGGGTGGGGCTGGGGCCTCATCCCGAGCTGGGGCGAGAGGTGGGGGGGGGAGGGGGTCAGCAGGAACAAAACGCTTTGAAATGGCTCCTCTCCATCACTGCCAACATTGTCCGCTGCCCGCGGGGGGCCTGGCACCGCCTCGCCGGGGCTCCGGCCCCCAGCCCTGGCCAGGCCCAGCCCGGCATCTGAAAATGGACAGAAGGTTATTGTCCCTTCCCGCAGCCCTTTGTCTGCCCCAGTTCCAGATGTCTAGGCTGGGACCAGGGAACTGACCCATGGTGGGCAGGGGAGAGGGGACAAAGGAGGAGAACACGGGTCACTGCATCCGGAGGGGTCGTTCCCAGACCCCCAGTCACCCTCTGGGCCGTCTTGTCCCTGGGTTGCCACCGTTCCCTTGCCCTTTCCCGAGACCAGGTTCTGGGCTCAGGAGAAAATCCAGGGGTGCAGAGCTAGATGGGGGGCAGCATCCCCGCTCTGACCAGGTAACGGAACTGGGATCTGCACACTTTTTGACCTCCAGCCCGCCTCACCCGTGTGGGACCCTGGGTGGACCAGGGCCCATTCACTCACAAGTATGGAAGGGTCTGCCCAGCACAAAGGCGCCCCATGGTGGATCGGCCCCTCAGACCCGCCAGTTTGTGGCTAGCAGTCATATGAGTCAGAGGTGACACATCCTACCATGTCTGTCCGTTTTATTGTCCTGGGCCTCACTTTACCTGCATTATCTCATCTTTTCCACAACAAAATCAAGAATGTGCCAGGCGTGGTGGTGCACACCTGTAATCCCAGCATTTAGGAAGCTGAGGCAGGAGGATCTCCTAGAGCTCGAGGCCAGCCTGAACTACATCGCAAGACCGTGTCTCAAAAAATAAAAATCAAACAAACAACAAAGAAAAAAAAAAAAAAACCAAGGACAAGGGAGTCATCCTTCTTCTCCCCACTTTCCGGCTTTGGAGACTGACAGGTGGATAAGAGGTACTCACTTGCCCCAGGCAAGGAAGCCAGGAGGAGGGAAGCTGGGGCCTAGCCCAGGCCAGCCGCAGCCACCAGGAGAGTCATTCACTAACAGATACCTGAAGGTGTGGGACAGAGCCCCCTGCACCCCGCCCTGCTCAGCATCCAGGCAGTGGGGTGGGTGTTAACGCCATCCTAGCTTTCCCCATTTCAGTTGAGGCCTGAGGCCCAAGCCAGGGAGAGAGAGAGCACACCTGGGTCAGGGGCTCAGCAGGGCTTGAACAGTGACGAGGAAGGCAATTCCGGAGCCGCCAGGGCTGCCCAGAGGGAGGCTGACCTTGGCTGCAACCCCCACCTGGATGATCTCAGACAAGTGACTTAGGTTCTCTACACCTTGGTTCCTGGTTCCTTTTCTTCTGTTTTTGTTTCTGTTTTTTTTTTTTTTTTTTTTTTCAGACAGGGCCCATCTAGATAGTTCAGGCTGGTCTTGAACTCACTATGTAGCCCAGGCTGGCCTCGAACTCACAGTGAGCCTGCTGCTTCAACCTCTGGACTACTGGGATTATAGGCGTGCGCCACCACGCCAGGCTTCCTGGTTTCCCCTTCTGTAAGATAGAAATATTCCCTACGTCAGAGGGCGCTTGTGAAAGTGACATTGGATGGTATGTTTAAAGCATTTAGTGCAATGCCTGGCACGCAACAAAGTTAGTGACAGCTGTTATTACTACGGTTCTGAATGAGGATAACAGTCACCCCTGGGAACCCTGGCCCTCACCTGGGTTCACTTGAGGACAGGCTGGGAAGGAGGGTGGGGTAGCATTGAGGGCTGTGGGGACAGCAATACCTGGTCTACTTGGGGCCCAGCCAGGGGACTCCTGCGGGCCAGGGGGAAGCGGAAGGGACAGCACTGGGAGGCGGAGGAAGGGGGCTCCTGGGCCCGAGGAGTTAACTGCTTCCAGGCCCTGGCCCGGCAGAGCTGCCACGCTGCAACCAAGCCACGATTTTAGCAGAGGAGCCAGGGCTGCTTCCTGATGGGCAAAACAGCTGGCTGCCCAAGGAAAACAGCTGGCCGGGTCCCAGGCTCCTGAGAGCAGAGGCAGAGCCTCCGAGGAGGACGGCGCCACATCTGAGGTCCTGAAGGAGGAGGCCTTGGCCAAGAGGGAGTTGGGTGGTCTGGGAGTGCGTGGGGGTGTTGGGTGGACCCTGCAGACATGAGGGGCGTGGGCAGATTCCTAGAGTAAAGGCCAGGGTGTGCTGCGTCTAAGACGGCGAGGCTGCCTCCAATGGGACCGGGGGACCTCAGTGTTCCCTCAAATAGGAAAAGTGGGGGACAGGGGTGCATAGAAGGGCTCCTCTCAGCCCTGGATCTTCCTGGAACCAAGCTTGGAAACAAGCGGTGGGACAGAGCCCAGGCTGGGCTCCTGGACTGCTAGCTGCCGAGATGCACCCAGAACCAGGAACAGGGTGAGGGCCCATCCTCCGGCCAGGACCCTGGGCCTCCCTGGCCGCAAAGCAGGACAGGGGCCAGAGCCCCCAACCGAGGCAGCATGAAGCTGGCAGCTGGTAAGAGCTCCATCCAAGCACCCTCCCACTTTGGGTCCCCCTTCCCAGCCTGCTTAGCCACCGGGCCAGAGGGTTTCACCCGGGAGCCATGTCTGGTCCCCAGGGCGTCTCTGGGCTACCCCAAACCATTGGCAGGGAGCAGCTTCTGGAGCGGTGAATGTGGCTGGACAGGGTTGGCAGAGGCAGACAGGGGTGTGGGTATACACCTGTGGGCTAGGGCTGCCCACCTGGGCTACTGACCTCCAAGCCCAGAGGTCTGGCCCTCCTGATGTCTCTCTGGGAAAGGGGACTCCCTTACCCCAGATCCCTAAACTGCAGCAGCAGAGCCTCACTCCTTTTGGGTGTGCCCGCGTCAACACCCCTCTTCCTGGTGAGGGCCATGCGGCAAAGCTCTGCCAGTGGATGGCAGATCAGGGTCCGGGGGAGGAGGGCCTCGGGGAAGGGGACAGTTGTCTTGGGGTCTCTAGTTCACGAAGCCTGAGTGAAACCTGAGGTGCTGGCGCCGCCACCTGGCTTTGTCCAGAACTGCAGTGCTGGGGCGCGTGAGTGCCAAGGGGCTGGAACCCTGGGCCTGACGAGGTGCCAGTCCTGTCTGTCTGGTCTGGACCCTGCTGGGCCGGATGGGCACCGACAGTCATCGTTCTCCGGGTTTGTACCCTATGTGACCCGGAGAACGAGGCTGTAGCCCTATAGATGAACAATTTCAGACTTTGGCTTGCATTAGGCTTACTTGGAAGCCTTATTAACAACAGATTGAAAAAAAAAAAAAAAAAAAAAACAACAGATTGTTCAGGGCTGGGGCACAGCTCAGCAGTAAACCACTTGCCCAGCGTGCACGGGGCGCTGAGTTCCACCCTTCGCCCTGCACTGCACCAGAAAGCCCCAACAGGTGGCCTGACCTCCCCCCAACCCCCGGAGTTCTGTCTCCTAGTTTCCACGTGAGGCTGATGCTGTGGAACAGGAGGGACCGTGCTTGGGTGAGCTCCGTGGCTTTAGGATGCCTGTGAATTTGGCAAGTGTCCCCCGTGCGGAGTGTGTTTTATGATGATTTGGGGCAGGGAGTGAAAAGGTGAATGTAAATGGGAGTGCGGGCAGCGGGTGGCCCCACCGCCAATAGCGACCCTGCCAGATCCTATGCTGAGCCCACCCCGTGCCTTCCGGCTGTGTTGTGGGGCTGGGGGGCAGGTGGCATAGAAGCCAGGTGCCTGCTGCAGAGTTCAGAGCCCAGCGTGTCTGTCACATAGCCTCCCTCCCGGGGGCCGGGGATATGGCTCAGCGGCATAAGCGCCTGCCTGGCAAGAGCAAGGTCCTGAGTTCGATTCCCGGTACCAAAAAAAAAAAAAGATGAGGGACATAGTCTCCCCCCTGGAGGTCCAAAGAGCAGTTCAAAATGAGGCTCAAAACAATGCCTCATGTTTTGTTTTGTTTTGTTTTGTTTGCGATAGAGACTCATTATGTAGTCTAGGCTGGCCTTAAACTCACTAAGTAAACCAGGCGTGGTGGCACATCCCTGTAATCCCAGCACTCTGGAGGCTGAGGCAGGAGGATCATTGTGAGTTTGAGGCCAGCTTGGGCTACAAAATGAGCTCAAGGCCAGCTTGAACTGTATATTGAGACCCTTTCTCAAAAAGGAAAAAGAAAAACAAAATAACTATGTAGCCCAGGCTAGCCTCCAACTCATGATCCTCCTGCCTCAGCCTCCCAAGTGCTGGGATCACAGGTGTGCGCCACCATGCCCAGCCCAGTACCCGATTTTCACTCTCCATTTGCTTTGTCTCAACTTTCCCCCATTTACTAATTAGCCTATCTCAAGCCAGAGGTGAAAGCCATCCTGATTCCTCTCTTGGTCTCTAAATCCAATCTCACAAGGCCTGTGGGCCCCACCCCACTGCAATCTCAGCTCTGCCCAGCAGAACCATCTCTTTGCGTCCTGGGGTATCTCATATTCTTTTTTTTTTTTTTGGTACCAGGAGTCAAACTCATGACCTCAGGCTTCCGACCTCAGGCTTCCCAGGCAGGCGCTTAAGCCGCTGAGCTACATCCCCGGCTCATGTCCTGGGTTATCTCAAAAAAAAAAAAAAAAAAAATTGACTGGGAATGTAGCTGACTGTAAACACCGAAGGTTTAATCACTAGCCCTGGAGAAAAATAAGAAAAATTCTAGGGGTTGGAAAGAGGATGCGCTTTGCACACACAAGGCCCTGGGTTCCACTTGTAGCACTTCCAGAAATGAGATCCAAACTCCTGTACCGGCTTCAAGGCCCTAGGTGACTGGGCTGTGCCCACCTACCCCACTGTCTTCCCACTCTGCTCCTCTCCTTTTGCTCCACCTGCACTGGCCCCCTTGCCTGTTCTACCCCAGGCCCTTTACCACCTGTCTCCACCAGAAACCCTTTCCTAGATCTTCCCTTGATCCACCCCTTCCTGTGCTCTCCAATGTCTTCCTTGGCCCTGCTATCTGAACACTGCCCGGTCCCAGCTCCTCTCTGTTCTTTTTTCTTTGTTTTTTTTTCCGGTACCGGGAATTGAACTCATGACCTCGTGCTTGCCAGGCAGGCGCTGTGCCGCTGAGCTAAATCCCCAGCACCCCCTTTTTTTTCGAGACAGGGTCTTGCTCCTGCTGTGTGCGTGGGGTCACATAAGATCCACGCAGCACTATGTCGCCTCAGGTGACATCAGCCAAGTCTTCCCAGAGGAAGTTACGCTGAGACTGCAGGGGCTGCAGGGTAGGAACTTCCCAGGAAGCGAGAGCGGGCAGGAAAACCACCACAGAAGAGGACTCAGGCAGGCGGGGGCTACGCAGCGTTCTGGACGCCGGCAGCTGTTAGTTGGGCGGGGCGGAAGGCGGGAAGGGTGTGATGAGAAGAGTGTAGCCAAGAGCAGGCTGCTGGGGCCTGGCTGCCCCCAGAGGGCCCGGAGCTGAGTGCTGGGTGCCGTGGTGGTTTCCAGGGAGAGAGTCCCCTGGGGGCAGGCGGTGGCGGCAGGGGCAGTGTCCACTTGTGTGGTGCTGATGCTGAGCATCGAGGGGTGGTGTGGGAGGACAGGGCTGGCCACGCACATGCAGGAGGCGTTGGGAGGCTGACCTGGTGGTGGCGCGGGCTTCCGTTTTGGACGGGTGACCGGTGGGCCCGAGGGGCCGTGGTGAGGTCCTGTTTCTAGAAAGAGGGCATAGTCCATGCAGTCAGCCACAGGAGGGGCCGCGGGAAGAGCCTCTCAGAAGTGTCCCCTGGGGGTGGCTGCAGGATGCCAGCCCAGCAGCCTCCTCAGTGGACAGAGGTAAGACATGGAGCTCAGTGCAGATCCCTGTTCAGCTGGGCGTGGTGCATGCCTGTAATCCCAGCACTTGGGAGGCTGAGGCAGGAGGATCTTGGCAAGTTCAAGACCAGCCTGGGCTACAAAGTGAGCTCTAGTCCAGCCGGAACTGCACAGCGAGACCCTGTCTCAAAAAGACAAAAAAAAAAAGAAAAAAAAGCAGATCCCTGTTCAGGAGTGGGGAGGGAGACAGGACCACAGGCCGCGAGGAGGCCCCGCCGTTTTCTGTTTCACTTGGGGGAGATGCAAGTGCTTTGCGCTTGGGGAAGAAGGATCCGAATAGAGGGAGACTGGGGTACAAGGACAGCAAGGGGGCAACGTGGAGGCCGGGGGCTGTTCTGCTGTGGGGGCGCCTGCCACGCACAGGCGGGGGCACAGAAGAGGCTTGGGGCTAGAAAATGAGAGTCTCCGGGAGATGCCGGCTACTCCCTCCAGGAGGTGGCAGGAGACCCTTGAGGTGGGGAGGGGACGGGCTGGGGGCTCAGGAAGACCCAGGGCATTTGTAGCACTGCTGAGGAGGGGCAGGGAGCTCAGGAAAGGGGCTGGAGGGAGCCCAGCTGAGGGTGAAGATGAGGGGCTCCAACCTGGGCCGAAGCCAAGTGGCTATGGGGTTCCACCCCGCAGGGAGGATGAGAGCCCTGGGCCCTGGAGGAAGGAGGGAAGGGAGTGGCGTGGGACGGAGGAGAGGACGCTGGGTCAGTAGGAGTCTCTTCTCCTCACTCGTTTGGGCTGCTGTAACAAAGTCCCTCAGACTGGGTAGTGTTTATTTGCATATTTGTTTATTCTGGCTTTTTTTTTTTTTTTTTTTGGTCTTTTTGAGACAGGGTCTCACTATGCAGTTCAGGCTGGCCATGAGCTCATTTTGTAGCCCAGGCTGG